GATAAGGACACTCCGTTTTATGTTATCAGAGAGAAACTTTTATCAATTTTAAGGAGCTTATGGGCTAACTGAAAGCCTGATATAGCCAGAGAGAGTTTTTATTTAAGACAATATAAGGATGCTTGTAATGCTCACCATTATTATAAATTTATGCTTTACAATAGATGTTCTCTTATCCTTAAGTCTTGACCTGTTATAACGCTAGCCTTGGGTGGCCTGGCACCCATCCGAGTAATCCGTGCCTAATAGTGTGGCAAATACTAGACTCAGGTATGGGTACACACTTGAAGGGGCACCAAATTCCAAATTATCCAAGGAATTTAATATTGCTAGAGATGCAGAATAGGGTAGTGGAGTTGTATCACAGAGGTCAGGAGAAGAAGTATATTCCATTGACTGGTTGTGGTTGGGTAACTCTGCTGGTATGCACCAGAATGGTGGGAACATGCCCAGAAAAACAGAGTTCCAAGATAGCTTGTTGATATGAGGCAGCTAAGCAGTTATTAGCAACAGTGGAATCATCATTCTGACTTCCTTCTCCCTCTCTGTGGTTAACCTCCAGTAGTTCAGGAGCAGTAGTTCAGTGGAAGGACCATTCTTATTCTTCTCCCACTCCCTAAAGTCAAATTAAGCATCACTGTTGAAAAGGAAAATTCTTTCTTGAGTCTGTGTGCAAGATGTTATTATTTAAAGCGTGTGCTGCACGTGGTTTGTGTGCATGGCACAGGCACAGTGTCCCTCTTCACTCCTCCAGAGCACCAACCGTGGGACACAAAAATACAAACTTGTATTTTTGTAGTCTCTGCCACTGAATGGGGTGGTGCTTCTGCTGAGGAAAGGCTCCCCTGAGAACTAAATCTGAAGCTTCACACCTGTGTATCTGTCTGCTTTCCTCTCTATTGCCACCTCCTCCACTGTCTGTTCCAGCCCCCCCAGTTCAAACTGGACCCGCGGCTGGCCCGTCTGCTGGGGATCCACACGCAGACACGCTCGGCCATCATCCAGGCTCTCTGGCAGTACATCAAGACAAACAAGCTGCAAGACTCACATGATAAAGAATATATTAACTGCGACAAGTACTTCCAGCAGGTAACTCCTTTTTAGATCCTGCAGCTCTTTAGAGGCAAACTATAACATCCATCCACAAATTTGGGATGAATTAAAATTACTGATTCTTATCTTCCCTTAATGATCTGCAGTATCCTTAGTACTGAATGACTTTCAGCAGGCACTACAGCTAATAGTATTAGCACCCTTCTATTGTGCCAGTGCTGTCAAAACCCCCCACACCTGGTGGTTCAGCACTTCCACAGGAGTCATGGCCTTTCCAGGAAGGAAGGCTTCTGTATGGATTTGCTAGGGCTTTCCCCCCCCATTTTGTACTAAGAAACATGACATAATCTGCTGATTCTGATTGTCAGTTCATAGGTAGACCTGTTTTGTTCCCTTGTCTTTCCCTGTTTATGAAGGGCAGAAGACATGGAAGATATAATTAGCTCAGTTTGCTTCAGATAATAAATTACCCTTAATGATCCTTGAAAGTACCATGTTAAGACTTTTTGTCGTTCACAGTGACCTCTAGAATTACCCAAGAAGGCCACTTAAAAGCATCCCTTTCTGTAAATATGATACATTTATTCCACAGAGGTATTGTTATCTGAGCTATCATTGTGGTAATTGGCCTGGTTTTTTCTGTAGCTTCAGAGTTACATGGTTTATTTTGAAAGTACCTGAAGGCAGTGTTTGTGACATACTTCTGTGTGGGGAAAATACTGGCAGTTATAGTAAATTAAAAATGTTTTGGTGAGCAATGAAAGTAAATGCTGCAATGAAACTTGTGTCCTAGTTTGCTTTTTGAGCTTTTAATTTCTGTTATTAGTTTGCCCTACCACAGTTCGAAGTGATCAGTGCGTGAAATAAACTTCAAGGCAGCTTTGCACATTTGAAAATACAAAGTGCAATGAAATAATTGTGAGAGTTATGGTATTTTTATGGATATAGAACCAAAGTGATCTGGATTATATAGTCACTCTTTTGTTTGTTTGAGTTTTGGGGTTTTTTGAGAGTTACAGCATGCAGTCTGTTTCACATAGTGAAAATTCCATATTAAAACCACGTAAGAATTTTTGGCAAAATGACAAAGCTGTTTGTTCTGTTGATTAGATGATTTGATTTCCATTTTTTATTTACCTATAGCCAATTTAGACTCGTTTTGTTTGTGGCAGCCTGAAGAGGAAATGGAAAAGGGGAAGTGAAAAACACTTGAAAAAATCATGAGCAGAATGCAAAAGGTGAACAAGGAGTAATTTTGTGTATTTTGGTCAATTATTAGAGGCCGCCAACTAAAACTGTCAGGTAGCAAATTGAAAACAAACAAAGGTAATCAAGCACAGTTAAACTTCAGAACTCCTTGCAATAGGACACTGCAAGTGCTAAAGGTGTATATAGGTTCCAAAAGTGGCAAACCAATGGAAGAAAAATCTTGGACTGTTTTAAATGCAAAGCTGTGCAGGTTGGGAGAATTTTTATGGGAAAAAAACAGTATCCGTTTCTCCTGTTCTTACATCTTTCCTTTAGTATCTGCTTTTTGCCACTACCAAGGGCAGGATAATGTGGTAGCTGTGTAGCAGATCCTTTGTCTGATCTAGTACAGACATTCAGACCTTACTTTTGGTAAGCAGGAGGGCCTTCTCACTTTTATTTATTTTAATTTTCGGCTTAAGAACTTGCTGCAGCTGTCTTCTCTTGTGTATCTCATTAGAGGCTTATTAGCTTGTAGGTCTCCTTTGTGCTAGAACTCTCCAGGAATACCATCAGACCTGATTATTGTCTTCTCATCCTCAGAAGATGAGTCAGATGAGAGAGTTAGGAAGTAGCAGATTGCTTTTCTAGAAGACTGCATCTCACACCCTGCAAGAGCTCACTAATCGGGGATAGTTTCATAAGAATGCAGCACTTGCATAGATTTAAATCATAAGTGGGACTGATTTGAGTGTTTCTGTTTTCCTTAGGTCTCTGTCCTAATCAGCTAACCTTGCTTTCAAAACTCGTGTTAGTACTTAGGAAGATGAATCCTGTCATATCAATGAAACATTTCATGATGAGGTTTTTTTGCTTTTCACTCCAATGCTCCAAGATTGAAAGATGGAGGGTAAAGGAATTGGATTAGGAATGCCTTCCAGCCTGATAATATTAGTGTAGACTCTGTAGTTTTAGCCACATAAGTCCTGGGAAAAAAATGTGGTCCGAGTTGGAAGTGTGTGTAATCACTTAGGGGAGCAGTACATAACACATCTCTGTCTCTGGCATTCCCCTTGAGGTACTGGTCTTCTCACTGGGTATGCCAACTCTTCTGAGCCCAGCACTGGTGTGCTTCTGGTTGTATTCAGTGGCACAAGGCAGGACAGACTAACAATGAGCACTGATCGAGTTAACTGACACACCAGAACCATTCCAGTCAGAGAGGCTTGCAGAGCCAAGGGGTACAAGTATAGACCATTAACTCCAGTTAAACAGGAATATGAGAAGCTCGAGGAAAATTCCATCTAGCCTTAGTTTCCAGCCTCCCACCCTCCTCTCACTAGTGCGTGTCCTTGCTCCCTTTTCCCTTCTTAAAGCTCTTGTTGCTTGGGTGTCCACTTTAGGAGTGGATATGAGTGTTGAGCCAGTGGTGACAGCAGATTGGATGGAGCCTGGTATGCAGAGATTTTGGGTGGGCATTCCACAGTCATCTCTGTCAAGTCTCAGAATTCAGAACTGAAATAAACAGTGACCTGCAGACTCAGTAGATTTCGTGACTTTCTTGTTCTTTAGAAACTAGCTGGCTGAATTCAGGAATGCAGGCAAGTCCAGCAAATCAGACAGATTTTAGAGCTGATGAAGAAGGATCTTTTTCTTTTTAGAAACACTGTTTACATCAGTGATGAGATTTGAAATCCACTGTGTTACAAGCGAAAGCAAGAAAAAAGGTTCAAAGGTAGTTCAAAATCAGAGCTGGCTTCTGGGTCATTCTGCTGCCAAAGTCCCTCACTTGAGAAAATTATGGCAAGTGTTAATATATAGAAAATTTGGGTTTTTTTAAAGTCAGTTTAAATGGAACACCTTTAGAGAAAAGCCTGTTCACCTGCTCAGAGCATTAAAAACCCCAGGGGGAAAAATGGCTGTAATTATTTCTGAAAACTCTAGGTGTAAGGAGTGTTTCTAGATTCATGGCAATGCACTGCAATTGCTGACAGAAAAGCTCCAAAACTTGCAGATTTTAATCCTTCTCAGAAGAATTTTTTTCTGAATTCAATACATATTCTTGGTGTGATTTGCAGTAGTGTCCTGTGCAGGGCCAGGGCTTGGACTCGATGACCCTTCTGAGTCCCTTCCAACCTAGGACATTCTGTGGGTCTACGATTCTGTTCAGCTTCTGGACCATAGTAAAGAGAAGGTAGCCATGAACTGTTGTTTGGAAAGGGTGGATCCCTTCCAAAAGGCTGTTCAGGCTTTGGTTAAAAATAAGTAATACCCCATCGACTTTATTTTCCTTAATCTTAAAAAATTAAATAATTGCAGATGCTTTTAAAATCCAGAAATGTTTTCTTGTATTTTTCTGTAGCACAAAATATTGCAGGAAACATGCCTTGTGGGATAAAAACCAAACTGTTTTTATGTTTCCTCTAGTAAAAAAAAAATTGTTTTCTTTATGATGTGCTGCTGCAAACCCTCAGTGAGAGAGGGAGTATTGGCTTCTCTCCTGTCATTGATACAGTTGTCCTCAGGTCCCACTAAAGTGTCCTGTGCCCTCCAGCAACTAAGCCAAAAGTGGGACACCTGAAATTCTCATCACCTGGTGCATCTGTCTGCGAGCCCAGATGTAAGTACTGCAGCAATTTGCAGGGACAGGAGTGACCAAAAATTTACCCTGTGCAAGGAACCACAATTACAGCTTTCAAAATCAACTTCCTTATGAACTGCTGATTTCTTACTTTCTCACTGAGGTTTTGGGCAAGCAACATTTTTTGTTTATTGTGTTCCAGATCTTTGACTGTCCACGGCTAAAGTTTTCTGAAATTCCTCAGAGACTCACTAACCTACTGCTGCCACCAGACCCAATAGTGATAAACCACATCATCAGGTAAGCTCTTGGTCAGCTCAGCACTGTCATTTGCAAAACACTCACTAGATAAAGCATGGAAACAGCTGCAGTAGCAGGGACCAGAATCCAGTTTGTATAACTTCCCAGTGAGTACCTTGGACTTTGTTATGTGTTCATTTTCAGTGTCGCTCTGGACTGTATAATTCTGCATTATTTTCACCAGAATGGCACCAGTTCTCTAGGAGTATGCAGAACAACTTTTATGTTTATTCCTACTAGAATACAATTGAGAGAGTTGATCAGGTTTCTTTCCTAAGGGGAGAAGAATGAGAGCTTGAACCCACAAAAAGAGAGAAAAAAGGAATCGAAGCAAGATACTGTACATCATGGGCAATCATTCTAAGCACTGAGTTACTATGTGAAGTGTACAACAGCATTACAGTCTCAAATGCTGTGGCCAGACCATGCATTCTTTGTTGGGATTGGCTCAGCTGTTTGGTTGTTAGTCAGACATCTCCAGAGATTTGCAGCAAAGAATGCCTGGATTCAGAGAAGGTCATTGTGGCCAAGGTACTGAGCTCTGGCATCTTTGTCAAAACAGATGTCTTTTCATCACAGCAGATGAAACACAACTCTCAGTTATCTAGGGCACTTCCAGCACATGCCACGTCTAAGTGACAACTGTGTGCATGGAGGAGGTGGATAAAGAGACTACTGGGGATTGCAGCCTTGCTGTTCAGCTATTTCAGTCTTTCCCAAGTTTCTTTACAGTCTTGGTCAAAACTCTGATTCTGGGTGTGTAAACATTATTGTTACTTGAGTATAGTGATTTGATTTCTTATAGAATATTGACAACAGATGCTTCTGAATATGATTAAAATTTGGTTCTTTATCTTAAACTTGTAATATATGTGATAAGAAGTTTCAATATTACTTAAGCTATTAAAATAAAATTTGCTTTTTGATTCATTTGAATAAATATGTCAGAGTAATCAAAAAGCAGCTTGGGAGCCATGCAGATGGATAGCTGTGTACATACTATCATTGAACACAACTCAGTGGCCTGTCTCATGGACCAAAAACCAGCTGAGGTCCTCAGAGATATATGCTCATTGCTCAGAGAAAAATGACAAGGAACTGATGGATATGTTTCTAGGGGTAGAGAGGTGGCAAAGAGGTTCTGGAGGCAGTGTTTTCTGTCAGGTACCAGCTGAAGAACAGGACATCATGTCTACTAGCATTCTCTGATACACCATGTGCACCACACAGCACATGGCAGCATTACATAGCACTGACATAATGCTGTAGAAAGGGGAAAGATGAATTTTCCGAGAACAGGGAATGCTTTTGCACTGGAGTCTTTACAGTCTCAGGATAAGCTAAAATAAATCTGGGAACCTGGCACTGAATTTAAAGGAAGTAAGTAATTTTTAGACTCATAAAAGTCACAGAATAATTCACAGTAGAAGGGATTGCTGGTGGTCATTGAAAGCTCCCAAATCAGGTTCAAATGGTATCAGGATGCTTAGGGGGACTGGTCCAGCTGAGCTTAAAACAGGCTCTCAGAGACCCTCTGCCCTGCCCTGCCACACCACATTCAATTTTTAGGAGTGAATGCAGTCAGCCCCTGGAACAATTTGCCAGCTGCTTGTCCTGGTTTAACCCCATTGTCAGCTCAGCCCTCTCAGGCACTCCCTCCCCCTTCTGTGGAACAGGAGGGAGAATTGGAAGGGTGTAAGTGAAAGAACTCATGAGTTGAGATAAAGACAGTTTCACCATTGGTAAAAAAAAAGTATTAACATTATTACTGTTGTTATTATTATTATAATAATAAAATAACAAAATAACACCCAAGTAAGACAAGCTCTGCAGATGAAAACTACTGGTCACCACCAACCAACTGATGCCCAGCAAGACCCCAAGCAGTGAATGTGTCCCCCCCCAGTTTTTTGCTCAGCTGGAGGTCTGGAATATCCCTTTGGTCAGCTGGGGTCAGCTGTCCCAGCTGTGCCCCTCCCAGCTCCTTGTGCACCCCCAGCCTGCTCACTGGTGGGGGGTGTGAGACGCTGAGAAGGCCTTGACACTGTGTAAGCACTGCTCAGCAGTAACGAAAACATCTCTGTGTGACCAACATTTTCCAGCACAAATCCAAAACACAGCCCCATACCAGCTACTATGGAGAGAATTAACTCTATCCCAGCCAAGACCAGCACACTGCTACAGGGAATTTTTTATCACTAGTGATTTTAAATATATGTGCTCTTAATTCACACAAATCTTCAGGCCTGTCTTTTACATGATCTTGTGTTATACTCTCCATAGTGTTGATCCCAACGATCAGAAGAAGACGGCATGTTATGACATAGATGTAGAAGTTGAAGACCCATTAAAGGGCCAGATGAGTAGTTTTCTTCTCTCAACAGCTAACCAGCAGGAGATTACAGCATTGGACAACAAGGTACTGGCCCAAGAGTAAAGTATCCCATGGCACATACGCGCATTGTGTAGCTTCATGTGAGTTTGTCACACATTAAAGATGGTAATGTTGTGAGACAGAGACTTCTCAAGAAGGTGTGCTTTCAAGGGAAAAATCAGCCACATGCAGTGGGAATACAGAGGGATGAGTGGCATTTCCACTTTAGAATTGATCCAGCGCCCAATATGGCTGTCAAGGAGACAGAAGTAGAGTTTCAAGGTAGTGTAATGAGTCCCCTGACATTTGAGAACCACCTGAACTGTATGGCTGTAACTCATTTATTGAGAGGTCATGGTATCTTGCTAAATTGCTAAGGCAAAGCTAGGAGAATCTCATACTCAGATGTGGGTTTTGTATTCATGACTGCGGAGCAGCTCTCTGTAGTAGGTGCATGGCAGGAAAATCACTTGGAGCAGTTTGGCAGTTTTAAGCCTTACTGAAAGAGAATCATGTGCACTTCAAATACAGGTACCTGTCTTAGGGCAATGGTGGGCTCTGCAAGGCTGTGTTAGGGGTGATGAACATCTCCTGGGAACTGTTAGCAGCTTCTGGCACATGTGTCAGTGGGTGATATGGCTTGGTAATTGATAAACAAAGGTGGCTTCTCAGAGCAAGGCCCAGCTTCTGCTTGTTTACCTCTAACACAAACAAATATGTTTAACTGTGGTCTTCTGCAGTTTTAAAGGGGGTCTGGACACCAGCAATCCAATGGATTCTGATAACTGGCAGCATCTTTCCTTTCCTGGCTCTTGAGGAAGGTCCTTTTCAGCAGGGCAGCTGCTCAGTTGGCTCCCAAACTACATAGGCTTGCAAGGATCCTGCACAGGGTTGCTCTGTTTCCAGTCCAGCTCACCTTTTCCCCTGTTTGTGTCACCTCTTTTTGCTATAGCATAGAGCAAGGTGTGATCAGCGAAGTGACTGAAGTCTCTGCTGGGTGAAGGGGTGTGGGCTGCTCCCATTGCCCTCTGTGTTTTGCATTGCTGTGCTGCCACGGAGTCCTCTAGTGGGAACTCGGCGCGTGCCAAGGGCGTTTGCTCTGCACAGCTGCAGCATTTTTCCAAATAAGGAATGATTTTGAGTTGACAGCAGCTCTTTTCTGTTAACATACCATGTACTTGTGCCTACACTAGTGGCTGTGATGTCATAGCTGGATCAGGGGAGGATTGTTTTCTCCTCTTGCTTGGACACCTTAGCTGTTTTGGCAAAATAGATGTCTACATGAAACTAAACAAGATATTGCTATCTCAAACTACAATGTTAGAGGAACAGAACAGCAAAAGTTTGCTTTTCTCTCTGTGTATGTGCAAATGATTCATTAACTGTCCTCCTACTGATGATACTTCATGTTGTTATCCAGGAACATTAGAGGACCTTGGCTTCTCTTCTGTCTTCATTCTTCCCTGCTAGTTAATGCTCATGTCTTTCATAATATTTGTGAAGATATGATTCATTTTCTATAAACCTTCCCTACCTCTGACTTCTCATTGTTCATACTCCCTTTTGCAGCCATTGTGACTTTAATAGGCTTTCTCTTAAGAAAAAGTCTAGAAGTCATGGCTATTCATTGAACATGGACTTGATCAGGAACTTTCTAGAAATTTTAAGGCTCAGAGTAGGATATTGAAGATGTGATGATGATAACCAGGGGAATAACTGATTCCTTGCATTGGGGACTGTTTTAAGACATACTTATATAGCACCTTTCTTCCAAGATCCCAGTCTTGGCAGAGAGACTGACTCCATCCAGGAAATTATTACGTTGTACAGTGACATGACATAGCTCTTCAGTACTGTATTTAGCATGCCATGCAGCAGTTCAGTGCGGGAAGTGAAAAAGAATCCTGTACACACTTGTATTGCAGAAGTACAAGTGAACCCAAAATGTAGTGGCAGGATTGCAGTGAAGTTGCTCTTTGAAGTGAATAAGCCCTGGGAACTTGCACAGGTCTGTGGTGTAGAATGGTCACCTTTGTATGTTACCAGGGATACAAGGATGCTGGCGAGGCTGACCTCAGGGTCACTGGAGCATGGGAGAAATTAAGTAACATCTGCTTTGGGGCTTTTTTTTGTCAGATTCATGAAACAATTGAGTCCATAAATCAGCTAAAAATACAACGTGATTTCATGCTGAGTTTCTCCAAAGATCCCAAAGGATACATCCAAGACCTTCTGCGCTCCCAAAGTAGGGATCTCAAGGTGAGCCAAGGTTTGATTAAGAATGAATAGCGGAACCAGAATGGAAGATTTTTTTCTAAATACATATAGAGTGTATAGCCAAACATCCAGGATGGATAATTGGTGGAAGACAGACAGTGAATGGAATCCTGCAATGCCAGAGCAGAGAGTATGCAGGAAAGAGAGTTGAGGTCATACTCCACTTCTAGTGGAACAGCAGTGCTTAGTGGGGGTGGTAGGTGGATTTGTGGTTGGCCAGTGAGACTGAAGTGCAGGGCTGTGCTGAGGTACTGTGTAAAATCAAAGCTATATAAAACTCAGCAGGAGCATCCTGTAGTATGAGAACACAATTTGGGTGTTTTCTTAGTTCATAGTTTAGTCTTATTTAGGAAAGAGTCAGGTTAAATATCTGCTGCCTTTGAGATACGCAAGAAATGGAATATAAAGAAGTTCAGTCATTTGCCAGCAAAGAGGAATAATTTGTTCCGCATAAAGTTTCACATTTCCTGTCTTTAACTGAGATGTGTCAAAATCAGTTGAATTAATGAATCTATGAAATTATTTGAATAAAATCATCATGTCTTTCATATATAAATATAGTTTGTTAGTCAATAGTCTCCCAAAAACCTGCTGTTAAGATTATGATTATTTATACTGTATTCAAAAAGGTGTTTAAATAAAGTAAGCTTTGGCTTGAGGAGCTTACAAACAAAGGCATTCTGGAGCTTCTCCAGCTAATTCATAGGACAGTTGTTCAGCATTCGTCCTGACTGATAACCAGTCCCATAAGACCCTTCTCTGTAATGTTCTGCCCTGCTGGCATCAGAGTTCTGATTGCACAGTACTGCTCTGCAAAATGTGCTAATGACTTTATATTTACCCATGATTCTGTCATGCTGGAGAATTCTGATTTTCACAGAATCACAGAATGGTTCCAGCTCCCTACTGCCCCATCCCTGGAGATGTTCCAGTCCAGGTTGGATGGGGCTTGGAGCAACCTGCTCTAGGTCTAGTGGAAGGTGTCCCTGCCCATTGCAGGGAGTGGGACTGGATGAGCTTTAAGGTCCCTTCCAAGCCAAACCATTTGATGATTCTGTGATCTTGTTTTGGTAGTAAACACACACTGTCGATTTGCTTTGGGCTTTGAGAACAGTTCTGAACATTGTTAATGTAGTAATATAGATAAATTTTGACTTTAGGTAAATCTGAATGTTTCTCTATATGGTAGAAGAGCTCTGGTGGAAAATGTTTTTGTTTTTATCACAGGTGATGACTGATGTAGTTGGAAACCCAGAGGAAGAACGCAGAGCTGAATTTTATCATGAGCCATGGTCTCAAGAGGCTGTGAGCAGATATTTCTACTGCAAGGTATGAAAGAAATACCCATACCGCTGGCTTATAAATGAATCTTCCTGCTACTGAGCAATTGAATCTGCTAAACTGTACAGTATCTTTTTTTCTTTCAGATCCAGCAGCGCCGACAGGAATTGGAACAATCTCTGGGAGTGCGCAACACATAAGTACTGCTCACAAGATCCCATTGGCATCATGACCACCAAACCAGTGGACTTTTCAGTGTTACTTAGCTCACTGTTACACATGGACCTGCTTCCTGACTGGATGAGAATGTACCATCAACACACCAGTCAAAACACCAGCTTTAGAGTGACCCTTGAAAATCTTGCCCATGGTGGGTGTCTCAGACCATTCCAGGCCAGAGACAGCACCACACAAGTGTCAGTGTGAAAGAAGACTAAAGGTTCATTCATCAGTGCACATCGTTAAGTTTTAGTGGAAAGTTCAGACACTGCACAGCAGATCCTAATGGGCTATGCTTAAGAGTGGCACTGATGGGGGAGGCTGAGATAGGTGTTCTAGGAGAATACAGATTTAGAGGAATAAATGCAGTTCTCATCCTATGGTACCCAAGAGTCTCAAATAGTAACTTCTCTGGAATTAGACAAGATAGTCTTCCTTAGAGCTGTGGAATGCTTTATATTCCTGAACGGGGTTTTTATTCCACCTGGACCAGTGCAAGAAGCCATCTCACCATCTGAAAGAACAAACTAGGAGGATTTTCATCCCGGAATATAGAGCCCCTCTGAAAGAAAGACATGTTGTCAGGGCATCTCTTTTGCAGACACAAATACTTTCTCTTCCCCTTGTCCCAGCAGTGAAAGGTAGACTGAATCATGTATCACTGGATGGGTGTGATCAATGTGCTGTACTGAGAGAAAGAGGATCATCCCTGGAATAAGAGCTTCTTAGGCATCCTTAATATCAGTGGTGTTAGCAACAAATGAGGGATTCTGAGAAAAGAAAAACAGTGTAATGGTGCTTTGCTGATGCCTGCCTTGAACACAGCAGATGTTAGCAATAAGCCTATGTGTAAAATACCAGATTTCTCAGATGTTTCTCTACGTGCCTGTAGGGTTCATCACTGAAAAGAACTTCCTGATGGTTGGTACAGCATCCAAGAACCTTAACTTCATGTAACATGGTAGTTTTCTCTTGAGTTCAAGATGTTAAAAGAGTCCCTGGATTGGTCTCACATTTTGATCATAGATGAATTGCCTCTTACTATGAAGTATTTAGTTCCCCATACATGATACGTGCTGGATATGTAGGATGCTGCTGAGTTAAAAAGCACTATCAGCCTTAAGTAGCACAGAGACCATATCCCATGGAAATCATCTCTTTGTGAATCATAGAATGTTTAGGGGTTGGAATGGACCTTAGAGATTATCTAGTCCCAACCCCCTGCCCTGAGCAGGGACACCTCCCACTAGACCAGGTTGCTCAAGGCTTTATTCAACCTGGCTTTGAACACTTTGAAATGTACCACAAATTCAGACTATGGGAATTTATAGCACATTTACTTGGAAGCAGGGACATCTTCCTTAAATCCTGCCCCTCCTCATTTTTTGTACTGCACCAATCAGCTTAATTAATGGCCCGACATGATTTCTAGTCCAAAATGCAGCTGCCAAAGTATAACTGTCCGTGTGATGTGGCACTCAAATCCTCTTCTGGGTTACTCCTCTTCACCTCCTTTTTTTCACTTCCTTGGAAGAGAATCAAATTCACACGTGGTACCGAAGCAAGGCAGATCTTCTGAATAATCCATTTGTCTGTATTGTCTTTTCTGTTTTGCTATCTTTGCCAATTTCTTTCTCAGTTGAGCTTAAAAGTTTCTTTTGTCCAGTCACAGAAGAGATAGTCTTCTCTTCCACACACTTATTTAATATCTTTGCTCTTACACTAGTAGTGCCATAGCTTTTGCTCTGTCCATTGTGCTCAGAGATGTCTCAGAAAATTGACATTTGATTGCAGTCATGTGACGGCAGTTCTGTCACACAGAGCCACTGGTGTGGGGAGAAGTGTGACTGTACCTCTTTGCCTGAAGTCTTTTACTGGGAAGGGCTTGCTTTGGAACTTTTCACAGTGAAATGTGAAATCCTGCAGTGCTAAACTGGTTATAGTGAGGGGCTGTGAAGCTGCCAGACAGTGAGTGACTTGAAATCTTCAAATTTTACTTAATTTAGTACTCTGCTAATTGGACTACAAGCAAGCATTATGAGGGACAACAGTGGGGGTCATCTGCTACTGTGCTTCCATATTTGTTACGCTGCTGTGTCAGTTGTGTGCATGCTGCCCAGTGTGTAAAACTTTTCTGTATGTGGCAAACAGAGCAGCTACATTCAGGGGGGTGTCCAGTCTGCAGGAAATCAGAAATGCAGAGAAAGATACGCAAGGATGTCAGGAGGGCATGGGAGTGAGATAGATGCCTGCAGAGTGTCTGCCAAGGAATTCTGGGGCTTGAGAGCTTTCCCACTGAAGTGACAAATATTTGTACAGAGAAATTTCAGTCACGTGCCATGGCTGGCAACAGACTGGTGAGTCCAGCCTGCTTTTAGAGCCTCTGTAGAATTAATTGGATGGATCTGGTTCCAAGTCTCTTTCAGAGCAAATTAACAAAACTAATGTGGTGTTGCTTCCCAGTGTTCACAACTGCAGCGCTGAAGGCTGAATCTCTGGTAAGCAGCAATGCTATGCTGAAGTGTGTGTGTGCATGAATCAGCCACCGGAGATGGCAATCCAGAATCTGAATTCTTATATCCTGCTGTCTATAGGAAGACTGGTCACCAACAGTGAGTCTTAGGAAGAACTGTCAGGTGTCTTTCCTGTGGTTAAACTGGGGTTTGAGATTTTGATGCCTTTTTCCTGCATTCAGGAGCAGTTCAGACCTTTTACTGAAGAGACTGTTCCAGGAGTGCAGCTGGGAGCTTGCTTGTTTGCAAAACAAAGAGGAATTTTATTTGAAGAGAAATAATGAAACAATAATGGAACAATACTGGGAAGAACTGGGCCAAGTGCTGTTTGAGCATATGGAAATTAAAGGCAGTGGTGCTGAACAGACAGGTAATGGTGGCAGACTGTGATTGAGAAACTCATGTTCAGTTCGGGATGGTTGTCCCTTTGTGTGTGTAAAAGATGACAAAAAGATGTTTCAGGGTCTTCAGTTGCCACAGTATGATACAAATCTATGCATTCCACAAAACCATTCTGTGCATAGAAGTAGTTAATGTATAGGTGGTTGTTAGAAAATGTAGCATCAAACTAGGAAAGGGTTTGACAGAATTCTGGAGTACCAACAGAAGGGAAATATGTCTTGGAGCAGAAGTATTGACATGGCAGGTTAGAAACTGTCTTTTTAGTCCTTTGGGCTGTTGGCCATGAGCCAGGATTCAGATCAGTGTTTCTTGGAGATTAAAGGGGAAACAAATGTTTGTTTATGGAATAAAGAGAAGAATGCAACAGTGGGAAAGGAGTGGGAAAGCAGAGTGCCACTGAAGTGCCAGTAAGACATAGCACAAGAAAATGTGCAGAGTACTGTTGGAAATAGCACAGTCCATGTGAGTTGGTGTATTGTGTGTGCATGTGTGTGTGTGTACATGGAGAGTGCACTGGGAGAGCCAGTCTCAGCTTGTGTGTGGCCTGGGAAATGGGTGTGCAGGGCAGAACCAAAGGTTCTGCAAATAACTTCCAAACACATTGTCAAAACATTTTCCACTGTTCCCAGCAGGGATCCGGTTGTTGGACGTAGCAGGGTTGGTAGTTGTAGTGCAGACATTGTCTCAGCTGGCAGTTCTTTTACACCACATTGTTTAGAATTTATCCTGTGCAAGCCAAATGAAAATATTAGTGCGTGTATCAATATTGGTGCATATCCTAGGGCTCCAGATTTTGCCAAAATGCTAATCAGGTATTTGGGTTTGTTTGCCTGGTTTTATGTGGAGAACCCTTCTATGGCACTGCAAGGGGATGAGGAGGAATAGAAAGCTCTTTTTTCCTAAAGAAAGAGGTCTCCTTTCTGTAACTGCTCTGTTGTTTAATAGGATGTATCTGTTCTGCCAGATCCTGTATGATAAACACCTTTTCCAATCTCATTGAAGAAAGGAACTCCATTTAAAAAGTACAACTGTGGGTTTGTGAGAGTGAGCAAATACGTGTATAAAGGAGGGGGGAAGAGAGAGAGAGAGAGAGAGAGAGACTCCCTCTACTCTGTAGCCACCATATCTTCATTGTATGATGCCGAGTGATTCGTAGAGAAGCTTTTAACAATAAATACTTTGTTTCTTTGTATCTTGCACTAACCTTATATGTCTTAACAAAGACAGGTACCTTTGGTTCTGCTCCTGGTAATGGTCTTGAGTGTTTGGGTTTCTGTTCACTTCTGAATGCACTCACACACACACACACACACACACACACACTCACAGAGGTTTTCATGGGACTTGACAAAGGTGAGAAGTGTTGCTCTTTAGATCTTTATTACCTCCATTTTTTTACTGGATTTCATCTTCAGCCATTTCTACATGGAGTAAGTGAGAAATCCTTAGCACTGGAGAGGTCTGGCTCCTCTCCTGGACAGCCTAGAGCTAGAGCCTGGATGCTGAGAGGTGTTGTAGGAATGATAAAATCTCCACCTAGACCGTGGTAGGAATTACATGGATGCCACCTCAACAGCGCTTGCCCTAGGTTCCACTTGAATAGAGGAATCAAATGGAGTTTCTGTTACTATGTGTAATATGTCATAGCAGATCCAGCTGGAGCTGGGAGCCTCAGAAGAGGGGAGACACCCCACACACACAATTGTCACTGGATTTTATAGTCTCTGTGGGTCACTTGATACCCTGATGGTTCATCCAATCCTGTTCATGGAGTCTGAGGTCTTCTGCTTTGCTCCTGCAGCTTCCAGGCATCTTTTTCATCTTTGTCTTGAGACATTCCCTTATCTTTTGTAAAAGAATATCCTGTGGTCAGATTTTTACTTACATGTCCTTATGTACCATTTCCATTTCCACAGATGAAGGTTAAAGAACAATTCCCATGGCCCAGGGCTTCATTTCCTTTAGTCACTGGTGCTAAGCTCTAGCACGAGTTAGTCCCTATTTTCTGGTTTTCAAAAAGGAACATAGTTCGGGACATGATAATTTAAATTCGAGAGGAAAAAAATATCCCTATATGGATTTGAACCAGCAGATATCTTTTCCAGCATAACTTAATGTGGAATTACAACAAGTCTGTGTGCAATTACCCTGCACTGTAAATGCAGGATAAGAAACTCCATGGACATTGTGTTAAGGGCAGTTTTGTAATGTGATGCAGCAAATGGAATCCCAGAATGTTGGGCCCCAGAGCTGGGCACAGGAAAGACCCACAGTTAGAGAAACCTCTGACAGAGAGAGGATCCCGAAGGCCCTGCAGCCAGGTGCAAGGAATTTGTCTAAAGCTCCTGCTCCAGTTCTCCCTGCATACACACTGCTGCAGTTCTGTCTCTCCATCACTCCCATATTCCCATCCCCTCTGCCTAGAAATCAAAAACATGGCAAAATCACTTCGGAATCCAAAGAATTTGAGATGGAAAGTTCTTAGCCGTGTGAGAACCAAAACA